CAAAGTTCACGAGGTACATTTTTGAACTGTATCGAAATAATTTATTAAATAAGATTTATCCTGAGATATGTGGACATAATAGATTAGCATTTACTAGAGTATCATATTGGTTTAAAATTTGAACTTTATTAATTTTGTGAAAAATTACTGTAGAATACTTTACACTAAATTTGGTCATAAGTGTGAAACGTCTAATCCTTTGTACTAATAAATTAATTTATTAAATAATACGTTTTGCATTTAATTTTTTTCAAATGTTTACCTTTTTTTAAATCTTGTCTAATTCCGAAACTCTTAAAGTGCGCCTCGAAAATTAAAAAAAATATTCATGCGTTATCTTTCAACCATAAAAAACTCTTTTTCATTCACTTTAAATTATCATTCAAATGTATTTTTTCGAATCTAGTAATAGTATATTACTGCCCTGGCCGGGAGAAATAGAAAAGTTCCAGGGCACGTGAAATAAGCGACCGAGGCGAAGCCGAGGTCGATTAGTACGTGTACTGAGGCTTTCTTTTTTCCCGGTATAGACCAGTATACGATTTTACATATAAGGCCCAGGGCCCGAAAATAGCAATATCCCGTTTAGCGCAGCGACAGGGAAATGCTACTTTCGGGCCGCTGGCATGTAAATTTTTTTTCAGGTACTTGATGTTCCAAAATTAAAAAGAGACTCAAAGAAAAGTTTGAATAATTTCGTCATGGTCAAACGCACAATAAGAAGTCATCAGTATCAACGAAGCAGTAAAGAACTTGTCAAAATGTTCATGGTTTACGCATTTTTCCATGTTCCTAGGACCCTTAAAAACAGTACTCAATGGTCGGTACACGAATAAAGCGACCAAAATTTCGATTGCGATTCTTGCCTTAAATTTTGAGAACTTTTCATAAAATTGCTGGTACTGATTCCTGTTCACCAAATTCGTATCAAGCGAAAGAAATAACTCTGCATCTGTGCTCTTTCCGACATTTTTTACTTCGCATCCATACCTCATTATGCTTAAAATCTCGATACAGTTTTTTTGCGTGTGTAAGTCGCGCGCGCGAGGAAAGCGATATCGAGCTATCGGCTTGGAGTGGGGGCACAGACAACAACGTACTCGACGATGTCGTGTGACGACGTCGACGATGGCCCTCTTGATTTTCGACTCGTCAGCGTGAATTAATTATCGTCTATAAAATCTATACATCGGCTCGTCTACAAGGTACGTATCGTCTGTATGTATACGTACGCGACAACGCTACTAGTTTTATGTCGAATACGGAATGCGACTGTGTGTGTGTATCGCTCGGAATATACATTCTGTGTATACAGTTTCATTTCGGTTTTTACGATCGAAATCATAAATTGAGCGCGAGTAAACATCGAATAGCTCGGGGGGGGGGGGGNGGGGGGGGGGGGGGCGCGATATGGATCGAGCTAATACTCATGGACCTGTCGCGAGGCCAGCTCCGATATTTTACTATCGCGCACTTTTGTGCAACGAAAAAAAAAATAAATTTAATGCAAAGTTCGATCTGCGACCGATCTTTTTTTTTTCTTCTTCTTCCATCCACGACTGCGGTCGAACGACGTGTAAACGATATACAGATATCCCGAAATAAATGTAGTTTACAAAGCCATTCGTCGCGGGGAGATAGATACCGCCACGCGGCCCAAGTTTTTTGTTAATCTCCGCCTCCGCCTCCTCCTCGACTCGACTTGCGAGGCGTGGCGCGACGCGACGCGTCCGACCGAAGTTTCTCTCTAAAACTCCTCCCGCGTGTCCACGGGCTCGACGACGCGACGACACAAGAGAGAAAAAGTACAAAGAATAACGAGTATTTAAATGCGCTCGCTCGTATAAGCTATAAACGCAAGCTCAAAGCTCTCGAGCTTTTATCGTGGCTGCCGCGCTTCTTCTTCTTCTTCTTCTTTTCTTGCGCTGTAGCAACAGCGGCAGAGCTACTTTATGTACTACTACAGGATATATATATATTCGATTGAAATTCAGCAACTGTTTTCTCACCGCTCGCATTATATTCGATTGGCCCTAATCGCGTGCGAGCATGTGCGCCTCGCGCGAGCTTTTCCTTCGATTCGCTGCAAGGAGATTTGCGGCTCTCGTATTGGGAACCACAATCAATGGTACGGGCGGGGGAGCTGGCTACGATTAAACGGCGAGTAATTATCGTACTGTATTATATATGCGTACCGGAATAATTCACTTCTGCAAACTATAATCCAGACGCGGCGCGGCAGCGGCTATTAGAGGCCACACACGCAAACAATATGCGAGCATCGAATGTAATAATCGCCAGTGCGGCACCGCTGCTGCTCATATGCTGATTGAAAAGGAAGTTATTTGGCGATCTGTGCATTTCTGACTCGATCGCCGTACACGCGCGTGTACCCCCGCTGCGCTTTGTATTTCAATGCTACGTGCAAATAACATACGACGGTTTCGATTCGTCCATTAAACCTGGGAATATAATAAATTACGGAGCTTGCGCGAAATCGAAAATGAACGGTGCATAATTATAAACGTGGAATAGAGGTCAATACGTCGGAATGGTATACACTTCGATCGGTAATTAGAAAGAAAATCGTACTATATACCACTGCGCTTCACCGAATGATTGAAAGTTGATTTCATTAGATTATCGCGATCTCGCTCGTAGCTAGCCCCCATGTATCTCAATTTCAAGACGCACGTCTCTCTCGTAAATGCGCGCGCGCGCGCCATAGGTTCGCAAGCAGGAGGAGAGAGAGAGAGAGAGCCATAAATAACAAAGGAGCTAGACGCACACACACACACACACACAGAAGCCCGTATTACGATAGTGGTGTGCACGTCGGCCATTCGGAGCTTTAGCCTCGGCTCTATGGAAGAGAGATAATGGCTTCTGCGCCGCGATAAGCAAATAATCAAGCTCCTCGAGATAAAGGGCGCTTGCATAATGCGCCTGCATCATCACCCACCACCGCAGCCGCTCGCTTGCTCGCTTGCTTTTGCTTTCTAGTCATCGTATTTTATCATATGTTATAATCTCACTCTGTCTCACTCTCACTCTCTCTCTCTCTCTCTCTCTCTCTCTCTGCTACTTGTGGGCGACGAAATCAATACGATAAAATTTCAGAGCTAGAGAAAAAATCCTTTCTATTCTCTGAAGTACGATTCTTAGCGACTCGATATTTTTTTGCGTGCTAAAAGAATCGATACCCTTTGAGGAAATTTTAACGTAATTCAATGCTACACTTTTCGAAGAGGATATATTATCCCGCGCTATATCCTAGGGACAAAGCTGTCACGTCGCTAGGTACATACATAATAGTACCCGCGCGCGCACATCTCACTCTCATTTGGAATGAAAAAAAAAAAAAAAAAATGGGGAGTAACGCGAATATAAAGCCCATCTGACATCGTTATCGAAACACAGTAGTGGTAGTAAGTAGTAATAGGAATGGCAATGCTCCGTACTCGCGGAGGGATAAAGCTCGAGCCACAGCTCAAGCAGGTATACGTATATATTAACACACTCGCGCTCGCTCATATACTTCAATATCTTGAAAATGCCAATTTTCTCAACGTATCGAAAAAAGAAACACTGGTGGTGGCTGCTGCTGCTGCTGTTGGTGGTGGTGGTAGCCGCGCATATATACATGCTGATTTCCGTATTGTTGTGTCTGTACGTCTCTCTCTCTCTTTCCAGTTTCGCTTCCGAGCTTCCGAATTCAGCAAGAGTTTCTCTCTCTCTGTCTCTCTCTCTTGAAGAGATATATATGCCGTTATATAGATATGTATATATCACATAAATCGATGGGGCGCTCTATCGTGCATATAAATGTAACGAGGTCACACACACACACACACACAATTCAAGATACATCCAAATGCATTGTGTACAACTCCTTGGTCTCTTGCTATACGTATACATTTTATAAGGAAAAGCTAGCGGCCGCACAGTAGGCTTCCTATATACTGACATCGGATCCGACTTCGATCGCGCGATCATCAGCCAGCAGCAGCAGCAGCAGCGACGGCGTTACTGCTGCCGATATTATTGACTCGCGATTCATTCCGTCGAGCCCGTCTCTTATAATACTTTTTTTTTCGCGTCGAAATTTCGTTGCGCGCGGATTTGCTCATTGTTCTCGAGATCTTCACTAAAAATTTATGCTCGATCAGTTTTGTCGGGGGGGAAAGAAAAAGAGGAGGAAGAAGAAAAGAGAGAAAAGTGAAGAGCCATTGTCGGGCGAGATCTTCGCTTTTTTGTGTGTTTGGTCGCTGCGCGCGAGTGCATGTTTACCCTAAATCTGTTATATAATCGTTTAACGGACAGGAGAGAAAAAACAAACTTGCCGCTGCTGCAGACGTTTAAGCTGCTTTCATAAAGTATGTCTTTACTCTCTCTCGGCGCGATCGCATTATAAGCTCTTGGCACCGGGCGCTGCGCACCTTTTTCGCGCGAGCCCAAACAGCGTTCGTAAACAGGCGTACAAGTATATATACACCGTCGTATTAACGGGAAAGGAAAATTATACTGCTGGAGTTATTTTATGGCTCGACGTTCGAGACGTTTTAAATATTAAAGTTCGCATTCTTCGGAAGCACGATGTATATATGAGCAATTCTTTAAGAAATCCTTCAAATTCGAGGCTGAAATCGCGATTGAAATGTTTTTAGCACATGACCTTGTAATGGACGTGAACAATTATTCGTTGATGTTCAAAAAATGGGGAAATGCGTGAATAATAGCCATTTTGATAGGTATTTATAGGAATTTCCGATTCGGACGGGATCTAAAAAGTTCAAATGTTCAGAAATAAGAAAAAGATTTTTTATTGTATTTATTAGTTGATATACAAAGGATAGAAGAAAGATTTTTCCAGTCATGACAAAATTGATAACATTATAAAGAAAAGTTTTTTCACTAAGCAAAGAATATTCTTGCCAAAGATTTTACACCATTACAATACTTAATGTTAATTTATTGTGTCCGAATGTCTCGGGATGAAATCATTTGACAAAAATATTTTATAAAGTCAAGAAGATTACGTGTGTGTGAGCTTACAGGGCATCTCTGCGGCCGTATGATTTGTGACAAATCTCACACTCAAAAGGGTTTGCTACGATTATGTACTGCATTTATGTGCCTTTTGAGGTCACTTGTCCTTGCAGATGACTTGTGACAAATTTCACACTCGAAGGGTTTTTTGCGGTCGTGTACTGTATTTACGTGACGTTTGAGTTCAAATTTTCGTCCAAATAATTTTGGACACATCTCACACTCTAAGGATTTGTTTCGAATGTGTACTGTATTTATGTGAACATTGAGATGGCTTTTTCGTCCATATGATTTATGACAAATCTCACATTCGAAGGGTTTGCTTCGATTATGTACTGCATTTAAGTGAATTTTGAGAGTTCCTTTTTCTCCAAATGATTTGTAACAAATGTCACATTCGTAGGATTTGTTAAGATTATGTACTGTATTCACGTGTCTATTGAGGCTACTCTTTTGTCCAAATGATTTGCCGCAAATTTCACATTCAAACGATGTGCTTCGATTGTGGACTATCATTATGTGAATTTTGAGATGTTCTTTGCGACCATATGATTTGTGACAAATATCACATTCAAAGGGTTTGCTTTGATCATGTATTGCATTGACGTAACGTTTGAGGTCACTTTTCTGTCCAAATGATTTGTGACAAATTTCACATTCAAACGATTTGCTACGATTATGTAATGCATTTATGTGAGTTCTAAGGTGATTTTTCCGTCTAAATGATTTATGACAAATATCACATTCGATAGTTTTGTCACTATACTGTAGGGCATTTATATTCTCATCGAGGTTACTCTTGTATGAAAATGATTCATAACAAATCTCACCTTCACACGGTCTGATTCTGTTATGAATCATACTCTTATGTTCTTTTAGACTTACTTTTGATGTGCATTTATGCAATGATTTTTTTTTAACAGTTTTTTCAAAACTTTTTAGATTCTCATAATCCGCAAGTTTTAAACAAGAGTTCATGTTGAACTGACAATTATTATCATAATCGAAGTCTTTTTTAATTAAAATTATCAGATATTTTTCATTGATGTCATGAGTCTTTTTTTTGTTTTCCATTTTCACCAATGGTCGAAAATTTTGATACTCAGATTTGAAGATAGTAGTAGATAAAAGAGGAAGTTCTGGTTTGAGATTTTTGCATTCCAAATCGATAAATACTTTTTCATCTAACCTCTCCTGGATGAATACGCCTTGATCAGGACCTTTTGCCTGAAATAAAAATTAGGGGCTAGTTTCTACTGGTCGATCAACAGAAAATAATTGAAATCCTTATACTCACCGATACTTCGTGCAACGGAAATGTTTCAGAGTTTTCGACTTTGCAATAGTCTAACGAAACGAAAACATTATCAACAGTTGCATCCGTCCAAAAATTGCTCGATTCTTCCTTCACCCTGAATAATTATCGAATTTAATAAGGAATAGCTCAAAAAATTATCATAGCAGTGTAACACACAACAATTTTTACCTAACTACGTCACTGTTGCCTTCCATGGCCTGGTTGATTATATGTTTTCGTTAAAATTTTTCACAATATACACTGATAAAATATCTGAGGTAAACAGCTGATAAAAAACTTTGCATCTCTATTTCACTTGTACTTTTTTACGAAAATAGTTATTAAACATATCATTGTGTAACTCAGTTACACACTAACGACTAAACACCTCGTGCGCTTTAGTGAGGTTATCCGGCGACTGTGATAACTCCTTGTCGAAACTCACCCCCTCTAGCGTTGATTACGTCTACACGCAGTTGTGGTGCACATCTATTGCTTTGTTGTCTGTACGCATGTACATTTCAGATAGGAAATCACTCAATTTTGCTGAATGATTTATGAGACGCTTATTTAACGCTTTTACTATAAATTTATTCGTGTAGAACAATCTTGGACTCGAAGAGTATCAACGAGGTACTTTATACTGATAAAGGTGTATATCGTAACCAATGTAAAACTATCGCAGATGACGAAGCTCAAAAAACTGAAATTAAATCATAATAAAACTTTGTTCAATGGTCGAGAGCTTGAGATATATATAAAAAAAAGAAGAAAATACTTTCATGAAAAAGTCTTTCATGAATTTTTTTTTTCAAAACGTACGAATGGCAAATTCTGCACTGGTATCGGTATGAAAAATAATATAATGCGCGAACAAGTTGGAATTTAAATCCGCGAGAGAGAGAGAGAAAGATATCATATTTCCAATAGAAATGTATGTATAATAGTTCTGTGAAAGTTAGATGCACTGGTCTATAGACTTTTTACATGCGCGTATACGAGAGAGAACAGAAGAGAATATTCACCTCCGCGCGAGCTTTTACCAATGAGAAACTCAATAACGTTTCAAAGTTTCGTCCGAGCTGTGCTCTGTGCAGCTTATTCCGCACGCATGATGATACTCGCGGAATAGTTAAACCCATTTCCCATGGATGAGGCAACTGTCACTAATAATTGTACTTGTTCGAGAAAAAAAAAGCAGCAGACAGGATAATTCTGGGCAAAAAGGATCATCTCCAGCGGAAAAGTAATAAGCATAAAATTAAATATTTACAAGTTTATTGCGTTGATGAAATTTCGAAGCGGTGGAGCCTTTACTACCCATCCTCTCTCACTCTCTCTCTCTTTTCGTGTAACTCGATAAGATTTTTTATTTTTTTGTTGCGAAAAAATCGATCGTCGTAACAACGAAAAAACACTACACGTAGAGCTACATTACGGAAGCTGCCGCGCGCATATCAAATACATTATAATGTAAAAGTGGTGCAGCAGCGGGTCGGAGGGATGATGCGTACACTATCTTTATATTTATCAACGTTCGTGTATCTAGTCCTGGTAATTTTTTATATCCGCGGGGCAAGAAAATAGATAAGTCCCCCCCTGCTACCCTATTTACGTGCCCCGTATATAATATCACGAAAATTCATGATGAATCGTTTCATTTTAGCGCCGCAGTAATTCTCGAAACACGAGCGTGAATCTATTACTGCACTCGGGCCAGTAAAAGCACGCGCGCGCGCCGCTACAATAAGCTTCCGCGAGTCAGCGCCGTTTATTATTTAGCCCACCGCCGCTGCTGTAGCTGCTGCAGCCTCGGATCCGCGTGTGCGATCGCATTTTTCGATGTTTTTCTCGTTTCTTTTTTTTTTTTTTTTTTTACTGNTTTTTTTTTTTTTTTTTTTTTTTTGTTGGTCGCGACGTCGGGAGAGCGTAATATTTCATACCGAGCGACTTTATAAATCAACGCGACACTCTCTTTTATGGGCAATTGGTCACTTCTGGCGGATGGTGTGTGTACGTTTTGATGCGCGTAAAATTGCTCGTTGTCGCGCCGAGCTTTTCCAGTCGACCGCGGTAGATGTAAACATTTTTAATTGCGAGAGATAATTTTTATTTTCCTCTCTTAAAATCAGCTTAATTCATTCCGTCAACTTCTTTATTTCTTCGAAATTTATCCATGAATTTTTTACGCTCGCTAAGAGCACCTCATCCAGTGGAAATAATAAAAGAGAAAGCCCATAACTTTGATCTCAATATTCAATAAGATCTTGCCTTGTAATTCTCGACGTCGAATCTGCGCGAAAAGGCCGTCGCGAGAAAAAAATAATAAGAGGCGAGAGCTCTCGCGACACAGCTAAAACTTATATACTTTCAATAAAAAAAGGCGCGCATTTCGCGCCGGGGATACTTTGATTTCGCATTAAAAATCCTGTAACTATGCAAATGCTCTCTCTCTTACCCTTCGGTGAAAAGTAGGTTAAAAGACTACTTTTTTTACGTGCTAAAAGTAAAATCGCCTCCTCTGTGTGCTCCTTTACTCTCTGCGTTACATTGCGCGTAGCTGAGCTTTGCTTTATTATAATGCCTCCTATTGAAGGCAAAAAAAATCGTCGTATACATATTTTCAGGCGAGCATATCGTCCATCAGGGTTTTTTTATATAAGGTAAATAATTCATTCCGATACACGATCTCACTCGCCCGTTATTTGCTCCGTATACCATAAGTCCATTTTCATTCCAAATTTCCCCATTTATCGTCGCGTCACACGACTACCACCAGCACCGCCGCCGCCGCCGCCACGCGAGATTTTTTCCCATCTCTCGCGCGCCGAAAGGGAGCTTTCAAGAGCCTCTGTATATATAGCTAGGGGTATATAAAACTGCTCCGAGGACCCTCCAATGGCTAAGAGACTCTTTCGTATAAAATATCCAACACCCCATATACTCGGCTGCAGCTTTTTCTCTCTCGCTGTCTCTCTATTATTCTTTTACCTTTTGTGACCTTTAAATTCGCCTGACTTGGCAGAAAACCCTATATATATGTGTGTGTGTGTGTGTAACCCACTCGAAACTGCGCGACATTTTCGGGCATTTATTCGCACCAAAATTTGAGAGGAAAATTTTCACGACCCGCGCACGTAATGTAGAGCAATGCCGATCGATAACATTCTCGTCTTAAATCCGTATTAGTTTCGATCGACGTTGCTCGTAGTTGGCAGTAAAAAAGTAAGAAAAAAAAGATATGACGTGCAAAGTAAAAATTGCTCTTGAATAATTATCCAATAAAATAACTGCGAGAAACTCTGTTCGATCATCGCGCTTTAGCGCCGACGTTGTAAAATTCGTATGAAAGGCGTCCAAGATTGAATTTCTATAGCGCGATATATACGCGCGCGAGCAGCAAAGAAGCGCGCACGAAAGTCGAAACTTGGGATAATTCGATTGAAGTTTATGTATAGTAGCGAGCTATTAAATTCGTTTCGAAAAGTAAAGCGCGCGATGGCCAATTTTCCGAGCGATTGTAATACATGAATTCGGAATATATAAATTTGAAGTATACTGATTGAATTAAGTCTTGTGCTTTGGAGCAATAGCAGCAGCAACAATGGGGCCATTGGCTTGAGTTTTAGCGCTTAATGTCGACTGCGAATTGTATCTTTATGAACACGGTGTATTCGAATTATAAGTGAATGTAAAGTACTTAAGGCTTTGAAGGGAGAATATAGAAAAAAATTGTATTCAATTTTTGAATGCAATGTGTCTTGACCTATCCATCGCGCTTTTTTAAATTACAAAATTCTGATTTTTCCCTGAAATGCAGCTACTTTTATGAGCTTTACGTTTTCTGACGTTTCGCGCTTTTCACCTGTCATAATGTTCAGAGCCAACCGCATTTGAATACACTTCCGAATTAATCTGAAATGGTTATTAGTTTTACTTATCACATCTCTCTTTATTTCTATTTTTCACGTTTATATTTCTTTGTGTTTATCTTTACTATTATTATATATTTGCCGTTAAGTCGTGTTTGATCGTTGAAGAATCGTTTATAAACGACGCGAGAACACGGATTTTCATTTTAGCGAGTAATATAAACGTCAAAATTTGACGCGATCCTACCGCGCTAGTTTTGTAATGACTCCTGGAAATTGTCGTCGACTTTTCCCCCCAACGAGCGAGAGAAACGTTTGTAATCCCATTGTCACGCGCACTATAATATACCCCCGCGTACTATACACTCGGTGTTTGTAGCTCATTATGCATACTTCGTCTCACGTAGCTCGACTGCTGCTGCTGCTTTACGCGCTGGGGTCTTAGTGGAACGTAATTTTCTATTACTCGAAACTTTGACCCTTAAAGTTGATCCGTCTTAGAAGGTGTGTGTGTGTATGCAGCACGAGGAGGTCTTGTGTGCACAAGACATAGATGGGTCTTAGCCGCAAAGTTCACTCGCGCCGCTGCCAGCTTAATCATAGTCGAGTCATGGCCACACGAAACACTTCGTCGGCGCGGCTCTGCGGTATATATGTATATGTCTACCCTATAGGCAAGCGTTTAAACCCGGAAATTATTAAGCTCGAATCGTTTGTATAATACGCGAAATATTACTTTTGCCGTTGGAAGATTTTAATGAAAATTCGGTACAGCGGCAATAGCGACCGCAAATTATACACAAATATGTGTTATACAACTTAAAATCGAGTCTACTAATGAAGCGAGCCGAGTCTATATTTATACATCCCTAGGATCTGCGTGTGTATGTACGCGAGTGAACTATTTCGCGGGGAGTTGAAAAGTTTGACTGCGCCGCGCGTGTGCTCTTGTCATTATTATTTTAACCGGTCCACGCGGTATATCATATAAGTTAGTCCATTTACGTGCACATACGCATAGCCTCAGAAAAGTTTGGTGTGCTTCGTGGCGGGCTGTAAATTAGTCATTTCTCCGATTCGTGGAGTCATCGCAAAAAAAAAGGAAACTAACAAACGAATTCGAGCGTACGTACGAGCATCTTGGGTGATATAATACCCCTGTGTACGTATACGCGATACACATTATCAAAGACAGCTGCGCGAGGAAAAAAAAAGGCAATGTCGCGTGAAGCGATCAAAGCGGCGTCGCAGCAGGAAAAACACAAGTATTATATGTATCGCATGAAAGAGTGTCGCTTCGACTCGACACGCGCATCTCTCGTTTTCTAGAGAAAGAGTTTCGAGGGCTTTTTTTTTTTTAAAGAGACATTGAAAAAAAATCAACTCGACAAATACCACGTTTCCACGACGAATTCTTCCTTTTTTTTCGTATTCATCTGAGTCTCGTATAGGTAAGGTCGATCCGTTTCAAGCTTTCAAAAAAGCAAAAAAAAAAAAAAAACAAAAATCCGTTTCGTTTGCGAAAATTGCAATTCCCCGACGGTGATTCTGTAAGTTGTTTTAGCCCGGCGTTATTTGTAAAGCGTTGGCTTTTTGTAAGCCGAGCTTCATTATTACAGCTGGTAAATAAAATACCTTCGCTATGCATACAACATTCTTTGATCTCAAATAAATGCATTGGCGCGACATTAAATCTTTTTTTACATATTCTCTAGGTACTATTAAAATTGAAATCTCCATCAAGAGACTAATAAAACATCGTTTCGTTTGAATAACCCTGAAAAATTTAATTTTTATCCTACAATGGAAGCCGTCAAAAGCACTAGTTGCAAAAGTTATGCAATATATAACGTATTATATGTATATAAAATGTGTATATATATACGCGTATTATATTATTTCGTGAGTTTTCAGCAACGTTTTCTCGTTTCTAAAGCTAATAGCCGTCGAGCTCGCTAATAGGAAAAATCATTATGACGTTGAATGACTACGTAATTTTTGTAGTCGAAACCATGTAAAGGCGACGAAAAGCTCTAAAACTACGATTTAATCAACGGATAATCCAAGTCACTCGAGCTGAAATTTTACTCTTTTTTTTTTAATTACTAGAAGAAAAGTTCCTACGCTGTAACCAAAATGACCTTAGTTTAACTACATCTTTTAGATAAAAACGACATTTAATACATTTTTTACTCCTGTACACCTACAATGTACAATAAATGTTTTAATTTCATACTCTTACGTACAAAAAAGATGTAATTTATTTAAAATATCTATCATCGCGCATAGCTTTGTAATATATTATTCTTTGGCATATTATTCGTATGTGAATCCTGCTCATATGAATAAATTTACAGGGCGTATAATAGTTAAATTGCGGAGACCGTCGTATTAATTTGAACTTGTAATTAAATTACAAAGCGTGACGATTACGTCAGTAGCAAAAATAATTATTACAAAAGACCTTTTATTTTAAAAGAAGTTTTTCAAACGCATTAAATTACGCGATAGAAAAAAAAGTTTTAATTTAATAATACAAAGAACATGAAAAAGTAAGAAAGTAAAAAATGTAAATTTTAATTGATGAGCACAAATAGTTTCGTTAACAGTAAAACTTATATCACTATTGCTTTTTTACGTTATTGCTTTAAATTGGGCTTGGTTTGAACTCGTATTACTTCAAGATAATTGTTATTATTCGATAACATTTTTTGCACGTTAGTGTAATAATATTATGATTGTGTTTACAACGCCTACTCATAATAGTTTAAATTTCTACTCAATTATGAGATTTAAAAATATCGAGTAAAACTTGAATATTATGCTCACGTGCCATGTCTATCGCGTCTGCTGATACAATTTCTACCACCTTGACTTTATCTGCTGGTATTAGTTCAATTTTTGTAAACTCCTCAAGCACTCGAGATTGATCGTATCTTTATCTTACGTTAACTCGTCATCATTTGTATTTCATAATTTGTTGATACTGTTGAAGTAATTTTAATAAAATGGAGTCTAGTGGTCCAGTCAACTATTCCGACAAGTAATTGACATTGTGTCAATTAAATTAGCAAGATAAGTGTATTTTAAATTTTAATTTTATCGATATTTTCAGAATAAAAGAAGAACCTAATGATATGGGTTATGTCACAAATGATAAGGAGCAAACAATAAACCAAGAATCTGATTCTTCAAATATGCAATATCACAGATGTCTGCAAGAGAATATCGTAAGTTAATTGATAACTGTAATTCATTGAATTATTATGTTTTAAACAAAATTTTTATAAGACTTTCATTTTATAACAGATTCATACGCTCGAAGAACGCAGAGAAATGAATGATTTTCAATCTAACCAAGAAACTAAAATAGAGTTTGAGTGCAAAGATGAAAAATCCGATGTAAATTTATTAGTATCCGCTGAAGCGAGCGAAGGAATTCATGAATTTCAACCTAACCAAGAAATTAAAATAGAGTTTGAGTGCAAAGATGTGAAACCAGCTGTGAATTTATTAGTACCCAATAAAGTGAACGATTGGTCGAACGATTTTGCTACTCATTCCTCAATTAAAATAGAAACTGAAGGCACAGTCAAGAAAGAGTTTCTCAGCGATATTATAAAAAGTATAGATTTCAATACTGGAAGCGAACTCCATGGAAAGGATACCAAAATTAGTCCTCAAATAGAGAAACCCCAAAAATCTAATCAATGTGAGAAATGTTTAAAAAATTTTTCTGCAAAAAACAGTTTGAAAACCCACATTGATATGGTGCATAAACGTATCACTTATCCGTGTGACATTTGTGAAAAGACATTTAAAAGTCAACTCTATATCAAGTTGCATATTGATTTAGTGCATAAAGGTCGAAAATCTTACAGCTGCGATGTATGCGAAAAGTCATTTGTACAAAAGAGTAATTTGAAAGCCCACATTGATATGGTGCATAAACGTATCACTTACCCGTGTGGCATTTGTGAAAAAACATTTAAAATCAAAAATTATCTGAAGTCACATATTGATTCAGTGCATAATGGTCGAAAATCTCACAGCTGCGATACATGCGGAAAGTCATTTGCACAAAAAAGTGCTTTTAAATTACACATTGATTCTAAGCATAATCGTATCAATTACCCATGTGGCATTTGTGGAAAAACATTTGTAAATAAAGGTAATCTCAAAGTGCATACGGATTCAGTGCATGATAATCGAAAACCTCACAGCTGCGATGTATGCGGAAAGTCATTTGCACAAAAAAGTAATCTGAAAAATCACATTGATGTGGTGCATAATTGTATTGCTTACCCGTGTGACATTTGCGGGAAGTCATTTACACTAAAGAGTAATCTGAAAACACATATTAATTCGGTACATAAACGTATCTCTTACTCGTGTGACATTTGTGAAAAGACATTTTCCTATAAGGGTAGTCTCAAATTTCATATTGATGCAGTGCATAATGGTCGAAAATCTCACAACTACGATTTATGCGGGAAATCATTTTTACAAAAGGGTGCTCTGAAAGCTCACATCGATGTGGTGCATAAAAATATCACTTACCCGTGTAACATTTGTGAAAAGACATTTTCAAGCAAGAGTTCTATCAAGTCACATATCGATTCGGTGCATAATGGGCGAAAATATCAATGTGATATATGCGGAAAGTTAATTGCATATAAGAGGGCTTTAAAATCACACATTGATACAGTGCACAATCCGATTTCTTATTCGTGTAAAATTTGCGAAAAAATATTTAAAAAAAAACGTTATCTCAAGTCGCACGTTGATTCATTGCATAATGAGCGAAAATATCACTGTGAATTATGCGGAATGTCATTTTTATACAAGGGTGCTCTGAAAACTCATATTGATTGGATACATAATCATATTTCCTACCCGTGTGACATTTGCGGAAAATCATTTTCAAGAAAAATACATTTAAAAAAACACATCGATTCAACTCACAAATAAATTAACATCATGTGATAATTGCAAGAAAACATACTTCATGTAAAAAATACAGCTCAAAAATGAATGCGAACTGTACTAGAGATTTTTGAAATAAAAAAACTGTTTATTTAAATAAATTATTAATGAATACTAAAACAATAAAACTAAATCATAATGATATGGAAAATTTAAAGAGGTTCAATTTCCAGAAGAATTCTGAAATGTTTATCGTTCATAAGGTTATTAACATTGATTATATTATGTAATAATTAATTTCAAAATTTTAATTAATTTCACGATTTGAATAATAAAATTGAGTCAAGCCCACAATAGGTGATGATAATAAATTCACCGTTGATTAATACTGATTGCCTCACCAAAATCTACAAATCCTCTCCTACCTCTAACTCGTCTAGTGAACGATATCAATATATTTTTTAAATTCATATAACGCTTGTATGGATCCATCAATTAACGCCAATTTTGTTACACGTAACTAGATCGCTGCCCCAACGAATAGCCACTGAATATTCACGAGGTTGTCTTGTATACTCACACACTTATTTAGAAATTCGTTTTATCCTGCAAAAATGCTAACGAAAAAAAAATGTTCCCTCAGCTGCTATTGAGAGAAAAAAAAGCAATTAGGTAATAAAAAAAAAAAAGAAAAAAAATGAGCGTTTCCATCTCTCCCCGCGCGATCGTTGAATTTTCCGGATTATCGAGAGTCGAAGCAACGCGAACCTCGTATTACGAGAAGCAGAGTCGGATAGAGTTGCATATATGCGTATAATAAAGAACAACCCGCGCGCGCGTTACAGCCCCCACGGGTCGGGGGGGGGGGGGGGCCCAAANGGGGGGGGGGGGGGGGGGGGGGGGGGGCCTAAATATCTAAACGTATACTGCATTGCTCGTCCGTACCGGCGGCACAGCGCATATACGCGCAGTGCAGCGCGCGTCGGGGTAATTTGCAAAATTGTCAAAGGGCTGTGCGAGCGCATTTACGCTTAGAATTCCGATTGCGACGTCAAAGAGTATCATTAGTAGTGGTGTAGTAGCGTCGGTGCGAACGAGCTCGCGAGCGCGAGCGCGCGCGCGTTTGCACGTCATAATTATCGTGCGGTCTGGCGCACTCGTACAACTTATACTACTGCTGCTGCTGCTGCTGCTGAGAAACGCCGCGCATATATGTTTAATGAAAATAAGTAATAGTTCTTGCGCGGCTCGCTCGCGCGCGTGCCTATACGCAGAGAGGAGCCTCGGCGGTGGTGCAGGCAACTTTTTATAACTGCAAATGATTTTATTCATTATTTGGCGGCAGCAGCGGTGTCGACGAGCTTGCAGACTATTACAGAGTCACGTTTTCGCCCGCGCGCATCGCCAATGAGCACGAGATGAATTTTTCAAGCTCTCGCTTCTCGCGCCACAGCGTACTCCGTGTAATATATATCTAAGGCAGTAAAAAGTTAGACTGTGTGTGTGTGTGTGTGTGTGTGTGTGCAGACGCGCACGTGTGGCCGCCGCCGCCGCATCCACGTACCTATATGTCCTATACTAGGCAGCAGAGATGAATTAGTTATCGCGTCCCGAGCATTTCCTGCACTGCGTGCGAGGATTTGGCGTCGTTAATGGCCGAGGAAGAAGCGCCAAAGCAAAACGACACACATGCGTCCCGCGGCCCCGAAACTTCGCGCTGCTGGTGCTGGTTGGTTGGTACTGGCAATTCAACTTGGAAATGAGTATACCCGGATTACGAGGCTGAATTTTACAGAGGGTATGGTATTATAACGCAAGATTCAACTCGAAGAGGGTCAAGTTCGTGAAAAAAATATCGATAGGGTTTTAATCAAAGCAAAAAGTATGTTTAAAAAATTTATTCATTATTCTGAAAATATTTTCAAGTTTCGAACGTCAATATAACCGGACTGTTCCAATTTTCACTCATTTCCATATAATCGCTAAATGATCAATAATAACGAGCTAGTTTTTAGAGAAAGAGAATGGAACAAAAATGAACCATCGACTCTCAGTTATTGTCATCGGTAACAGACTTTTCATCGACGAAAAATTCACGGAGCTCTCTTAAAAAGTTAACTATTAGCATCTATATTTTTCAGAAACAATAACTTATGCAGTAAATTCAAATCTTAGGTATTTTGTTTAATTATCGACGCCAATACCGTAGTTCATTACAAGCACTTGCAGCTGCAAATATACTAATTGGATTTTACTCTTAATATCGTGTGTGCAATATCATTACGTACTGCATCGGCGTGGGTTCAAAGATATATTTCTCTTTTGTGCGAACATGGCATGTTTGTGCGAACATGGCAAATTGTGCACCTGAATGAATGACGTTTTCATTACAATTTTGGTGTAGCTTTTTTTTTTTTTTTTTTTTTTTTATNCTACCTAACGGTGGGTCTTGCGTGTATATGTAAGTGTGTGTGTTAGTGTATTAGCGTGTACCTATAGTCGATATGGTTGCGCCTCCCATACCACTGAGGTTACGCTTTGATAATGGTGTGACCCCCAACACCAGAGACCGCAGTTGAAGTGCACCGGCCTTTTTCCAAGGAAAATTTCCACGGATTACACCCAACGGTGCAAACCCCGCAGAAAAAATCCTCAGGAAAAAACCAGCCCACCGCCGGGATTTGAACCCCTGACTTTTCGGTTGAGAAGCAAGAGCTCAAGCCCCACAGCCACCGCGGCCACTTTGGTGTAGCTCTATGATGACACGCGATGCTGCCCTCTATGCATTGCATCGCATAACTGCGTACAGTCGGTCGACGGTAGAGGGGGAAGGTTCCGCCAAGGAGCTATCACACGGAGTCACCTCGCTGATGTAGATGAGTAGTGCGTTCAGTTACTGGCAAATAGCTAAATTCCAGCAGTGAGCAAGTGTTTACAAATAATATCTGTAAGGAAGTATAGTTTTTCTATCTAAAATCGAGGTACTGCGTTGACTAAGAGACACATAGCCTCAAATATTTTCTAAGAGTACATCGTGAAAATTCGAAGTGAATAAATATAAATGAGCGATGGAAAGCAACGGGGACGTAGTTAGGTAAATATTTTTATGCGTTGTTCTAACGTGATAATTTTTTGAGCGATTCTTTATTAAAGTCGATTATTATTCAGGGTAAAAGAAGAACCAACTTGGACGGACGCAACTGATGATAATGTTTTCGATTCGATGAGCTATTGCAAAGCCGAAACGTTGGAATTTCATGAATTATCGGTGAGTTTAATGATTTTAATCATCTTCTAACTGTCCACAACAAAAAACTATTACATAATTATAATTTTAGGCAAAAGGCTCGAATAAGACTGTCCTGTTAAAAGAGAGGTTAGATGAAAAAATAATCATAGATTTTGAGTGCAAAAATGTCAAACCTGAACAGTCGTCTTCATCGACTACTATTTGCAAAAACGAGTATCAAAGTCATCAATCTATTGTGAAAAAAGAAAATGAAAATCAGACTTATTACTCAAATGAAAAAAGGCTGATAGTTTTGATAAAAAAGGGATTTATTTATGATAATTATTGTCAATTAAATGAGAACTCGTGTTTAAAACTTGTCAATTATGAAAATCTAAAAAGTTTAGAAAAAACTGTTAAGAAAGAATCATTGAACAAATCCACAATGCGTCGAGAAACTCACACAACTAAAACAGGTTTGAAAAATCACAAAAGTACAATACCTAAAAATATTAGACCCTTTGAGTGTGATATTTGTCACAGATCATTTGGACAAAAACAAAACCTCAAATGTCACGTGAATGCAGTACACTATCGTAGCAAACCCTTTGAATGTGAGATTTGTCCCAAATCATTTGGATATCAAAATCTACTGAAAAGACACATAATGAAAATACATGATCATATCATGCCGTTCGAGTGTTACATTTGTCACAAATCATTCAGTGAAAAGGATAATCTCAAAAGGCACATAATGAAAATACATGTTCGTATCATGCCGTTCGAGTGTTACATTTGTCACAAATCATTTAGAGAAAAGGATAATCTCAAAAGGCACATAATGAAAATACATGTTCTTATCACGCCGTTCGAGTGTGACATTTGTCACAAATCATTCAGAGAAAAGGATAATCTCAAAAGGCACATTAATGCAGTACACGATCGTATTAAACCCTTTGAATGTGGTATTTGTCACAAATCTTTTGGAGAAAAAAGTAAAGTGAAAAATCACATAAATTCAGTGCATAATGGTAGCAAACCCTTTGAGTGTGATATTTGTCACAAATCATTTGGACGAAAACAATACCTCAAAACTCATATAAATGTAGTACATAATCGGAGCAAACCCTTCGAATGTGACATTTGTCACAAGTCGTATTCTCGCAAAGATGTACTAAAAAAGCATATGAATGCAGTACATGATCGTATTAAACCCTTTGAATGTGATATTTGTCACAAATCATTTGGACAAAAATCACACCTCAAAACTCATATAAATGTAGTACATAATCGGAGCAAACCCTTCGAATGTGAAATTTGTCACAAATCATTTGGACAAAAACCACACCTCAATAAACATGTAAATGTAGTACACGATCGTAGCAAATCTTTTGAATGAGAAATTTGGCGCAAATCATTTGGACTAAAGAGTAGTCTCAATAGACACGTGATTACAGTACATAATCGAAGCAAATCCTAGAGCATGAGATTTATTATCAGACGTTTGGATGCAGTGAAGATCTCTTCAATCATAAATTCGACTTTGCTAGCAAATTATAGAAGATCTTTCTTTCATATTTAGACCAGCCATAACATCAAAATTTCAATCCAGTTTTTTGAAACTTTTACTGAATATTTCTCCAAAAGGCTCTATAGCGACCTTAAAAACATGAAAATGAAGGATAAGTATTGAGTAAAAGTGTCAGAAAACTGGATTGAAATTTTGATTTTTCAGTTGGGTCCTATTTCTCTTTAATTTTGTAAAGAATAAAAAATTTTAAAATATTATTAACTTTTCCGCGACTGTGAAGAATTTTACATTCACTTTTATTCATTATTTACAATATAAACACGTTTGTTCAAGTACTGGTGTACTAGTAAAAAATCCTTCCCTAGAAGAGAGAATTATTTCTAAACTCCGAACGCCGACCGGAGCAGCTTATTCCGTCTGTACATGCACTGGCAATATATGCTTGCACTCATAATAATAGAATTAAAAAAAATCATTTAATGTATTGTGAAATCCAGCAAAGAAAATAACAGACATAAAAATTCACAATTTGATATCCTACATGTTGCTCACAGGTTTTAATGGAGAAAAACAATTTGTTTTCTTCACATTATATGAATTCATAATGTATCTGTATTAACGAATAAAACCAGTATATCTAGAAAGATCATGAATTATTTTGATGAAATTGTTTTATTTCACGAATTTTTCCAATATTTAATATCAACAGATATTTTATATATTTATGCATGTTCAAGAAAAAGAATAAAAAATAAAATAATTTTTAAAATTAGAATAGAAATTTGATATGTATAAAATTTCCAATCAAAAGATACGCGAAGCTTTTCTAATATCGTCATTTTTTGTACATTTTCAAATATTGAATAAACATAAAAATTAATCAAGAGTATCGATGTTTGTTTTTTCTCATCCCGAACATTCTTAACGAAACTTTAATTCAAAACATATACTTTTGCGGTTCATTAGCAAGTTCTTTCAGCCGGAGGATAGGAGCGATGAAACTCCGAAATCGACTAATAAAAGGTCATTAAACGCACGGGTGGCTTATATACCGTGGTAAGTAGTGCGCGGCGGCGGCAGTGTCGGTGGGTCAGAGCAATTTTGCACTGCCGCATGCATCTCTCTCCCCCCTTGCACATGCACGGCGAGTACACACGCGAGGTCGCTTTGATTTGTGCCAGTAAACTACACGTCTTCATTCGGGCTAATATCGAGAACCTTCTACCCTTATCCAGACAGCGTGTGTGTGTTTGTTTCCCGGACTTTTTCTTCCTCGATCGGAAATAATTCGATTAAAAAATGCGAGTTTCTCGAAAAAAAAAAACTCGCATCACTCGTGTTTTGTAATATTATTCGAATGCATAATATATCGATTGTGAACCATTGCGTGCGGCGCAAAAATTTTTCCCCGCGTTAAATCCGATCAAAAGTTTAAAGTTATATTGTAATTTTTTTTTGCACGCTCGCGCATATTTTTTCTCGGCTCGCGCGACGCGAGCGCATTTAATAACAGAAAAATACTTCAAAAGTGCCGATTTCATGCATACCCATGCAAATGGAGGGTACTTATTTTTTTAAATATTCGCAACTACTAACCTGGATTTAAAATAATACAGATAAATTATTGTTTGTTTTACGTTTCACCGATATTATCTTACAAATTGGTAATTTGCATGAATTTTTAAAGTAATGTTCATTATTTACGGAAAAAAAACTAGTGGGTATTCTTTCTTTTATCTCACGTAATAAATCTACGCTGAATACATTCAACTGTAAGAAGCACAATAATTGAATTGCCTCGAGTTGAAAAAATGAAAGATGTTCTTGTGGGCTGTACCGTTATGTAAAGGAAAAATAAATTATTTGTCCAGTAGCTGGCGCGAAAATTAGGTCTTTTATCGAAGTGACGTACAAAAGCTTTTGAGGTTCCTCGGATCGTCTTCGCAAATAAGCGATCCCTCGGGGACGAGAGGGACACGAATCTCGAAAGTCGTACTTTCTGAAAAGGCTTTGACATTCGAACCGCTACAAATGTAAAATGTTTTATTTACATTCGTCGCTGTGGGCTTTTAATGAGCTCTCGTGCTGTAAGTGTTGGTATTCAATAAAAAAAAAAGAAAAAAATTTTAGCAGCACCACCACCACTCAACTCTCGTCAGCTTGTATTATGTCGCGCTGAACAGTCGCTGCTGCATCGTCGCTTCTAATGATCGCGCGTAAATTTTGATTATTTATAAAGATGAAATCATCGTCATTGTCGTACGTACATATTCATATATATATCCTAGAATAGAAAATATATATAATATAGGAATATAGGACTAGTCGTCGTCGTTGAAGAGCGAACAAGCGAACGCGTCGTTTTCATGCTCGATCGAGCTTTGTCCTCGCGCAGCAGCACCGGTTAAAATCGGATCCTAATGAATGCGCTCGATCGTCACTAATTTATTGCAAAACATTAATTAAAATCAGTCAATTCGATTTTTCCATTCTCGCGCGCTAATTGGGGAGGCGCACGCAACGTAGCGGCAGCAGCATACCGTCTCTCTTATCATATATACATAATGGTTTATTCGCGCCAGCTATACATGTACAGATATATAGATGCGCGAAAACGATGGATTTTATACTCCTTTGTATAATAAAATAATCTGTTTGGAAACACGACGATATTTTCTCCTCCCCGTCTCTCCCCCAAAATCGATCGATACGCGCGCTGCACATGCACATACTTTATACACCGTGTATGCATTAATGACCCCGTTAATCGTGTACGTGCTTTTTTTTATATACGTACAATATTCCAGTCACCCCTGCGCACAATTCAGCGATTAAACGGGAATTGCAGATGAGTTCGGGAGATTATAAAATTGACTTCGACGAGTATTCGCACTCATGCGCGAAGTAGTAGTAAAAAAAAACGCGATAAAAAAAAGGGCGAGAGAGAGGAGGAATTTATGAAAGTGCATATTGTATCGCGTATCCTGCATTATAATATTCCAGTTCGTGTGCCGTGTATACATGTATGCAGCAACAACAACGCATTGCAAAAGTTAATCTTCGGATGCGAAGAGGGCGCGCATAAAAAACCTAAACGCAGTATATGTTTTAATCTCACCAGGCGTACGTATAAACGGTGAAGGAGGATAGCTGCTAAAGAGTAGAAAGCGTATAACGAGAAAATTTCTCAGTTAACTCTCACGCAGTTGTTGTAGAATTTACGCGCTAGTGTACCGGTATATGGCTGTAAGACGGATTTCGACGCATAAGTAATGCAAGAGAAGAAGCGAAAAGACGTATTTGTTCGACTTGTAGCGAGCTCAAGAAGTAGCGGTGAAAATTACAACGGAAGATTTAAGGTGCGATCGAAGAAAATTAATGACCTTATTGATAAATTAATTAGCTTGGAAATTTTTAGCGAAGCTTTTTTTATTCATACATTTAAACGAAAAAGGGCTGGATTTTGGTTGAAGAAAAAATGTAGTACGACGATCAACACTTGTTTCAATGGATAAAATTTGATTAGCCGGATGATCGATCGTGACTTGACAATAACACAGATCGCGTACATACGTATACCGCGTAATATCAGCTACGATGAAAGCTCTCGTGGGATGGGGGGGAAAAAGCTCGAGCTTGACGAATGAAGCACACGTCTTGTACCCTTGCACACATACACAACCGGCGAGCGCACACTCGTAGTGCGAGCACGCGATCCTTTTGAAGAAGCGGTAAAGCCGCGGGGGTAATTCATTTGAAAGGAAAGGGCCGAGTTAACGTCTTATAAACAAAGCAACGACACGATTTTATACGATTCGTCATAGTCAGCGGCCGACGTGGTCGTGGTGGTGGTGGCGGTCGTAAAATGATACTGGTGCTACGTGTTCTACCACGATTGCTCGCACTGACTTTTTGTAAAGGAATAATTGTCTTCAATTACAGGGCCTGGATTCGACAAAAGACACTTTGATTTGATTTATTATACGTTGTTGCAGAGATACAACGATGATGATATACGAGTAGATGCTTCAATGACTGATGAGTACACGATGATTTTGATCAAGAGCTTATCTTCAGAGCAATATAGAAATTACAATAAAGTTCAAAATTTTATATTTCTGCTTTTTGATTCAAACATGTAATTGATCGCTCGATTTATTACAATAATATGCTTTCTGAGATAACTAGCATCTTTTAACGCGCGCGGATGGTCTGAAAAGCTACATTTGCCCCACTCTGCCCTCTTTGAATCGCTCATTGGAAATATACAATAGTGGGGCATGACGCTGCGCATCAGGCTTCACAAGTGCTTTTTTGGTGTAGAGGGGGAAGTAACGCTGTGAAGCTATCACAGTCACGTACACGGGGTCTCCTCACTACTGCGCTCAGATAGCAAGAAGCTAAATTCCTAAGTAGTAAACAAGTGTTTAAAAATTATCAAAATTGAGGTTACAGTGTCCGCTACTCGAGGCGTTTAACCTCGAATATTTTTTCAGTGCAAACCGTGAAAATTTAAAGCGATTACATTAGAATCAAGCGAGCGATGGAAGGCAACGATGACGTAGTTAGGTAAAAACTTTTGTGTGTTGCATTGCCATGATACTTTTTCGAGCGATTCCTTATTAAATTCGATAATTATTCAGGGTGAAGGAGGAGCCAAACGATACTAAGCCAGATATCGGCGACAATTATAATTTCGATTCGGTGGACTTTTGCGAAGTCCAAAACGTTGATACTTCAAACGTAAGTTCAAATATTTGAATTATGTTGTATCGATCGACTATTAGAAACTATAGCTCTGAATTTTGATTTCAGGCAAATAACATGAATGAGGTTATGGTGTCTCAGGAACAGTTAAATGAAAAAATAATCATAGATATTGAGTGCAAAAATGTCAAACTTGAACTGCCACCTCTGTCGACAATCATCTGCAAATCTGAACATCAAAGTTGTGAACCCATTGTGAAAATAGAAAACGAAAAACAGACCCATGACGTAAATGAAAAAAGTCCTATAATTTTGGTGAAAAAACAATTTAATTACGATAACAATCGTTACTTTTATGTGAATTCCCGATTGAAGATTGAAAAATTGATTTATGTGAAAATATTAAGAAAATCATCTCAAATCAAACCATCTTATAATTGTCAACCAACTTATGAAAAAGAAGTAAATTTAGGAAAACAAATTAATACGATGCTCAACCACATCAGACAGTATCAATGTGCAATTTGCTTCAAATCATTTGGACTAAAAGAAAACTTGGAAATGCACATTATAACGGTACATAATTACAGTAAACCTTTCGAGTGTGATATTTGTCACAGATCATTTAGACGAAAACAAAATCTCAAATGTCACGTGAATGCAGTACATTATCGCAGCAAACCCTTCGAATGTGAAATTTGTCACAAATCATTTGGACAAAAACCACACCTCAATAGACATATAAATGTAGTACACGATCATAAAAAACCCTTTGAATGTGGTATTTGTCACAAATCATTTGGACAAAAGAGTAGCTTCAATAGACATGTAAATTTAGTACACGATCGTAGCAAAACTTTTGAATGTGATATTTGTCCCAAATCATATGGTCGCAAAGAACATCTCAAAATTCACATGATAATAGTCCACAATCGAAGCTCATCGTTTGAATGTGAGGTTTGTCACAAATCATTTGGACAGAAAAGTGACCTCAAACGTCACGTCAATGCAGTACATAATCGGATCAAACCCTTTGAATGTGATATTTGTCATAAATCATATGTAGCAAAGGATTACCTCAAAGTTCACATTAATACAATACATAATCGTACCAAATCCTTCGAGTGTGAAATTTGTCCCAAATCATTTGGATATCAGAATCTACTGAAAAGACACATAATGAAAATACATGATCGTATCATACCTTTTGAGTGTAAAATTTGTCACAAATCATTCAGAGAAAAGGATTATCTCAAAAGGCACAATAATGCAGTACACAATCGGAACAAATCTTTTGAATGTGACACATAACGACAGTACATAATTAAAGCAAACCCTACGTGTGCTACACTTACATGAGCAAGCTATGTAATTTTTTGAAAATCTTTCAAAAAGGATAACCTTTAATTTTATAAAGATAATAAATTTTTTCAACTTCTCATTTAATACTGTGATTGTTTTCGTACATAATTTTTAACAATGTATTGCTATTAAGTTGACCTTTCAATTTCCCGTTTATTAGTTATAAATGTGTATAAATACAGTTATAAATTCATATTATGTATTGTAATATAGTATTCATTCATCGAATGCGAATTCGACCCCGCGTCGTGCATTATCTCTCTGAGTTCCAATCGAGTATTCGTATTTGTGCGTACAAGGTAAAAAATACCTCTAACGCATTAGCTGCAATTGCACGACTCAAAAGACATCATAAAATAGAAAACTCGCGCTCAATGTAGAGATTGAATCACCACAAAATTCCAATGATTAATCACGAAATTTTTTTAGCCATGACACGATCGGTCATAATTTTTCTATAACAGGCTATTCGCAGTGTCAACTATTCCATTATTTGATGGAGAATTCAAAGTTAAGCGATATCAATAATTATAATCACAACTTTAAATGGAGTCGAACTAAGCTGGCATGTGTAACAAGCAATAGAAACGAGAGGGGTGCCTCGCTTCGTATAAAAACATTTAGAATTTTGTCGATAATCTTCTTTCAGAAGACATCGCGCTCGACAGGCTCTGTATTGGATCGGACGGCGCGCGTCAGTCTTTCGCGTTACCCTACTGGTCTGTCCGTATGCCTCGGGAAGAAGAAAATTTGCATCGTATTTATTTTCTACCTGACGTGTGCGCGCAAGCTCTCTTATGCAATCGAGCACAATTGAAAAAGACGCGCGATGGTCGGGTACGGCATAAAAGAGAATATCTGTCGGGTAAAAGTAATTTTTCCGAAACTTGATTACTTCAAGCTGCAGCAAAAGAAGAAAAAAACAATCGATGGTTTTATCAACGTGCCGCCGATTAAAATCGACATCGTCGATGTCGTAAACACAGCCATTTCGTTCGAAAAAAAGGGAAAAAAATATTTACACGCCCTTCCTTGTGTTTTTTTATTCTCCTCGCGGAAATTTCTTAAATAATGCAACTTCCTTTATCACTCATTAACTCATTCGTAGCGTAATACATAAATTTTAACTTAAAACTCGGCGTTACCGCTGCCGCTGCCGCTGCAGCTCGGGGAAAGAAAAAGTTATCGAGTGCCGTGATGAAATAATTGATGAGCTCTTGCTGCCCGGCTCCATCTACCTGCACCGAGCCTTGCGACGAGAGTTATAGCGAGTATGCGAAAAAGTTTACATTAATACTGAGACATAGTTTTAACTATTTATATTTATCCAATTTTTTTTTTCTCCTCTTCCTCTTACTCGAGCAACAGCGTGTGTCAATTTAAAAAGATCAAATCACTGTGATGCTCTTTTCATTCTGGTACATCTTGCACTTTAGTTTACAATTTTCATCAATCTTAATTCTTTAATCTTGAAATTGCTTGGGAGCAGTTGTCTCTGTCTCTGTCTTTCCTTCTCTCTCTCTCGAGAGAGAGAGAATAAGAGAGAGAAAGATCGTGTTGTCTTTCGCATACTAACTGCAAACTTTTTACATTTTAACTTTTGTAAGTGATTTTCGTTAATGTCTCGCAATCAAGCCCTTCCACGATATAATACCGGGTCCGCGCGTAATTCAACTTATATAAAAGAAAATCTAGCGAATGGAACTCGAGGGGCGTGGGTGGGAGTCGCGTAAAGCTTTTGAATCCAGATAACCGGAAAGTGTATATACAAATAAACTTGGCTATGATGTATATAATTAAAAGAAAATTAATGCTGCGAGAAACTGAGATTGCCACTGTATACCCCCCCTCCCTCCCTTCCTCGAAACTTTTACGCGAATAAAACGAGAGATCCCCGCGAGATTTTATTACGATGTTTCGTTTATCTAAATCGCGTCAACATTGAAAGATTTCGAAACTTAAAATTGAGTTCGAGACCAGTGTCGAAATATCTTTTTAAGAATTTATGATTGAAACGACGAGTCAAAATCTGATTGTCGCTCGTCGCCACGAGTCTCTCTATAAGGAAACATCGATAATATGAGTGCAGCTCGAGTCGTTATACGTACGCGTCTTTTTAACACGGAGACAAAGTTGTTACTAGCAGAGTACTGAAATAACATACTTTCTCCATTTCCACTCAGCTTGATACACAATAATAAAATCAAACTACCGCGGCGCGGACAACTTTTTTTCCCCTGCCTTCTTTTCATTTAGATTCGAGCGACGATGCTCGAGGAGCGAAGGCCACTTTCTCGAGAAGAAAATGATGAGGCTTATGTAGAAGCTCGCAGGAAAAATATTGAAAATATATACCGAGCTTTGGTAAGGACAGAGTAAATTGTGTATCTCCGAGCGATTATTTATGTAATAATACCGACGTTGTGTGTGTGTATGTATGTGTACGTGGGTTCATCGTCACGAAGGGGGAGGCGTATTTATACTAGGAAATGTAAGTTGGAGAAAATTTTCTGACTGTGTCGAGGAAGGCACGTCACGCCGCGTACGTGACGAGAAATACACCCCCCGCATCGGTACATAGAGAGAAAGAGAGAGAAATCGTGAGCGAGAGCTTTATTCAATATTTGCGTTTCGGAAGGAAAACCGTGTACACACACACATAGAAGAGGCGCGATAGAGCGAGAGACTCGCAGAGCTGCTGGCTCGTATTATATATGGGGAGGGTGAAACTGCCATATGGTATATAAAACATCGCTATTCAAGACGAGCACGACGAGCGACGACGACGCTTTTGCAAAAGAGGCGTGTAATTATTTTATCCGACGAAATATTCAACTTGACATGTATGCGATTTACTTTACTGCGTGGACTATTTCGTGAAATAGACAAAAACGTTTCGAGTGGATATTTAAATATAATTAGAAAGATATTTACTACTCTTCTGATCCTGTACGATATGAACTATATATAGCTGTATTCATAACGAGAGACAGGCATATTTTTTTTTTTTTTTTTTTAATTCACTGACGAATAGGAGGAATAGCCGTTAATTTATGATACCGCAGCGACATAT